GAGCCGATTCATTACTTTTCTTTATTTCCCTCTGCCCCATACCAGTTTGGGTTGGACATTCTCTTTTGTTTTGAGTGGGTAATTTTGAATTTTTCTTACCTAATTTTCTAAGAAAGACTAAAGTTATTTCTTTACTTTCTCTTGAACCAGACAAGGACCTGAATAAGCAAGTTTTAACTTCTTTTAACTCCCTTATACTACTTTCTATTTTGAATTTCTCCTTCCTGCCTTCAATATCCTTATTGCCTAACACTTGAGTTATAGCTTGTTCTTGATTTCAGGTACTATATTTTTTAGTTGTAGAATGCCCATTTGATCCTTCCCCATTAGATTGCAATTTTCTATTGAACTTGTCTGTCTTTTCCTCATTTTCTTCATATTTTCCTTAATTTTATTTGACATTATTTATAATAGTTTAAAATTTTTATCTGCTAACTCTGAAGTCTAAGTCATTTGAAGGATCTACTTGTAATGCCTATTTTTTCTTTTGATTATCAGTTATATTGGGCTGCCTTTTTACATGTCATATATGTAAAAAGACAAAAACAAAAAAGTTCTTTTCTGGACTTTGTATAAAAGAACTATAGCAACTGAAGTTGATATTATTTCCTCTGAGAACATTTATTCTTTCTCCTGTTTAGGGCTGATTACCTCAATCCAGTCAGGCACAGAGCTGAGTTGGGGCTGGATTGCAGCCTTAGTAGATTCAGTTCGCCTCTGTTGTGTCAGGGTGAAATCTATTGTGTTTGTTACAGGCTGTCTCTTCAGTGGGACTCTGTCTCCTAGTGGTCCCATCCTGCTTTGCTAGCCCAACCCCTGTAACCTAAGCCTCCCCAAAACTCAGCAAATGTCCTCATAGAAAGAATGGCTGTGCATTTAGGACTCCACCAGGCTTAATCCATCATGCCAGCCACAATGGCGGCCATTAAGTTCTGTGTGTTTCTCTTCTAAGCCAAACTTGATTCTTATTCAGCCTATGCCCAGACTCAGGAATGCCCCCCAGACAAGGAAAGCAGCTCTCAATCTCAGGTCTTCTTGGAAAGACTCTTCCCTTTCTGTAATTTTACTTCATCCAATCCTCTTTGCTTCTACAACTATTGAATAATTCTTTTTTTTTTTGAGACAGAACCTCAAGCTGTCACCCTGGGTAGAGTGCTGTGGCATTACAGCTCACAGCAACCTCCAACTCTTGGGCTTAAGTGATTCTCCTGCCTCCGCCTCCCAACTAGCTGGGACTATAGGTGCCTGCCACAATGCCTGGCTATTTTTTGGTCGCAGCTGTCATTGTTGTTTGGTGGGCCCGGGCTGGATTCAAACCCACCAGCTCAAGTGTATATGGCTGGCGCCTTAGCTACTTGAGCCACAGGTGCCGAGCCTGAATAATTCTTTTTAAAAATCATTTTGTTACCTATTTTATTTTTCTTAATTTTTCAAAGTCTGCAGTGGGAGAATGGCCTACTACTCACTATTCCCTTTCGGAAATAGGACTCAAGTTTCTCTATGTTCACTACCTATTTTTTACTCTAGCCTCTTTCCTCTCTGCCCTCACCCAAATCTCACCTTTGATGGGAGTATGGCCATTTTATGGCATTACTGTATTATGTCTGAGCTACCTGGAGCCCACCTGAGGATCATTTTGGTCATTACCATAGCATTCTCCCCATCTCAGCTGCATGTGGGAAGGATGCTTTAGGCTGAGCTCCAAGCATATCCGAGGGCTAGTGTCTGCTTCGTGCAGATATTGATTGGGTACCCAGCATAATGCCTGGCATATGGTGGGTACTCGGTATTTGGATAGGCATGTGGGCTAGGGGTTGCTGGCTAACTCTTGAGGGCAAAAGGTAAGGGGCAGAAGTTTCAGAAGAGGCTATGTGCTAGTCCTTATTCTGAGCCAGGTCTGGTCAAATCACAGGAACACTTGGCCTGAGTGTGTGGAAAAGACTCCACGATGCTCCTGATCATCTTCTTGAACATAAAGCAAGCTTGGAAAAGACCGTTTCCACAGGCACCATCACCAAGGACTTCCATCGGGAGCTGCAGTGAGTTAGCCTAGCACATTCCATCTTCTCTGGCCTAGGAGGGGAATCCTGTGAGCCTCCCTAGGACCCAGGAGATCTCTACTTGGGTTGGGAAGAGCTGCTGCAAGGTCAGAGGCTTGGGACCTGCAGGCAACTTTACTTCACAGGTGGCAGCTATAGTAGGAGAGCCTGAGGCCCCCTTCTAGCCCACCTTAGCGGAAAGACTGAGCAGTGAAAGAGGGGAAATACAAAACCCCAGCACTTAGATAGGGACCTACCCCTAAGCCAGGCTCAAATTTGCTAGAGGTCATTTCCCCAGAAGGTCATAGAGGTCATTCCATAGAAGTCATTTCCCCATAGAGGTCATTTCTACAGAAGTCCCTGGCTGGGAAGTGCCATGGCCAAGGCTCTGGTCCTGAGCAGTCATGTGCCCCTGATTGGCAGGCTGCTTGCTACTTATCCCTTTACATATAGGTTTCTCTCCCCTACTCACTCCATCCATTCCTGACCAAGTCTCAATTCTGGTTTATTAAAAAAATTTTACTGAGATCCTGCTGACTCCTAGACCTTGTGCTAGGTTCTAGAGATCCAAGACAACTCAGACACAGGTCCTGCCTCAGAGCACTCATAGTTCCCTCAGGGAGATAGACAGGCAAACTTGTGACTGCAATTTTTTTGTGCTCAGTGCTGGGAGTATTAGGAGAACAGGAATGGCTCAGAGGACAATCCACTTGATTGTGTGGGTCAAGTAAGGAAGGCTTCATAGGAGAGGAAATTTAGAGTTGGGTTTTGACATGTAAGTAGGAGTTTGTCAGGCACCCATAGAATCTATGTGGCTTCTGTGCTTCCATCAAGGTACACACTTTGACATTCCTATGGAGGATATATCAAATAAGGCAAAGGTAGAGTTTCCCTGAGGGAGGTGGGGGTAGGGGAGATGTGTAAATATCCCACAAAGGGTAAGGTAAGACTAGAAGAGAGTGTCAGGTCTCCACAGGTGAAAGCCCAGTTGATAGAACAGTGGCAGGACTTGGCTAGGCCAGCTGAATTTGTGGGCTACGTTAACATTAATTAAACACTTGCTCAGTGGGGGGGGGGGGCTCGGGAGCTTGGCCTTGGGAAGGGATGAAATTGGGGGGGTATAAGGCCCTTGCAGCCAATGGCAGGGGGACACCATGTGAAGGAAGGCCCCTCATGCTAGGGAGGAGAAGGATCTCACTGCAGCCCTGGTGTACCAAAAGCAAGAGCAGACGGCACTGCTGGCCCTCCTGGATGGGGCGGCAGATACAGAGGCACGCGCTTGGACCAAGCTGCAGAAACTGGCTGAGACGTCCCCATGGGCTGGAGAGCGCTCACCAAAAGAAATTGAGGATAGCTGGAGCAAATGGGAATCCCAGGACAAGCAGGTGAGACTGGGGGAATGCAGGGAAGGGCAGAGGGCTCCCCTCGCCTCCCGCTTCACTCTGGGTGTGATTCTTGCAGATGAGCAAAGTCTTGGGAACAGGATACAAGCCCAAGAGGCATGGGCAGAAAAGCAAGGTCCTGCCCCCCCCAGTGCAGTATGGCTGGATGAAGCATCAGGTGAGCCTAGGGTGGCCAGGGCATCCCACCCCATCGATGGTCACCCTGTGCCCCACATGGCCTTTCAGTGGGGGTGAGGGGAATATTTGCCCTTTAACAGGATTCTGGGCCACAGACAGTTCTGGAGTGAGGCTGATCTGGTTGGTTTTTTGCCAAAGTCCTGGTTGAGGCCATTGGCACAGCTTAGTCCCTGAGGACAAGCCTCAATTAGCCCCTGGGCCAAGAGCCTCCTTGAGCCTGGCTCCAGTCTACACAGGGCGCTCACCAAGCCTGTGGCTACTCATCTGCTTGTTAGTATGGTTCCCCTGTGTCCCCACCACTGTGAATGCCCAAGAGCAGACACAGGGTGTCATGGCATCACTGTAAGGGATGGAGTAAGTAGATGGCTCTCCTTGGGGGAGAGAAAGAGGGAGCAAGGAACTTTGAAAAGACCAGAGTCAAGCTCTATCCTCTATGACCTGGGCAGACCCCAGCTCTCCCAGCTCTCTCCTGTCTGCCATAGGAGCACAGTGAGTGCTCCCTCCTCTCTCTGGTAGGGATTAGGGACAGGTGAAATAATGGCCAGGGCCATGTCCCTGCTGGTCCTCTGTCCTGGGCAGGGAGAGCTTGGTAAGAGAGGGACTCTCTGGGGGAATTCTTAGCACCTGGACTTCACACAGGATCCAACTCAGACCCTTGCTCTGGGAAGGGGACAGGCTAGGTGTCAACCCCACAGGGTTGCTATGAGCACCCAATGATGGGGTGCAGGGAAGGGCTGGGTGCCCGGTCTGGTGTGAAGAGGGTGTGGGCGCATGGGCTGTGGTCATTAGTAACAGGCATGACTGTCTGGAGACTTCTGCTTTTGCACGGGAAGACCTCAGGGCCCTTCCTTCCTACGAGCCTGCCCATGGTTCTGGATGCCTTCAGCTCCAGCAGTGCCCCTGCTCTCCTCCTCTGGCCCCTGCAGATCTTCCCACGGATCTTCCAAAGCCTGCCCTTGAGCAAGATTATGCCTGCCCAGCATCCTGACTTCCATGTCAGCAGGGCCCTGCTTGTCAGTCTGGCGCCCCAGCGTGCTCAGAAGGACCTGGAGACTGACAGGGAGCAGGCGGCGACAGATGCCAGCATGGGCACCATCCCCTCGTCCCCATCTTCCTTGCTGTCCATGGCAGCCTCAGCCTTAGCCGTCTCCAGGCCCCATTCCTCCAGCTTCATGCTGCGTCCCTGGTCAGCCTCTGCAGCCCAGTCCATACACTTGGTCCCATCATCTATGACTAAGTCCAGCCTGCAGAGGTCAGGGACCTCTGTGCCCAATATTGAGTCTCTCGGACATTTCCCAAGGCCTCTGAAGACGACCTCCATGTCCTCCGTGAAGAAGGGCTCCCACATCAGGTTCTAAGGTGCCCTGCCCTCCTCGCTAGTCCTCCAACAGGGTTCCGGGCTCACGGGGCCCTGCCTGCTTATCTCCTGCTAGGCCTGGAGGGTGTGGACCACTCTCCAGATACCCCGACTCTGCCTCTCTGGTGAAGTTGACCCATCTTCACCCGTCTTCTCTCTGGCTCTGCGCCAGAGTCCTGGAGAAGAAAATAAATTTTCTCAGCTGTGGGAAATACATTTTCATAGGCAATGAAGTTGGGCTGAGTATCTCTCACTGCCTTAGGCCCCCACTTATCTCTGGAGACTGGTCATACCCCTGGCTAGGCCCTGGGCAGAGGCAGGGAGGAAAGCCTCTCCCATTAAGACACTGGGGTGCAGTTGGCTGAAACCTGGGGGTGGGGGCTTTGCAAGCTCCATGCTGATGTGGTGGGTGGGAATCTTTGGGGGAGTAGGATGGCTCATAACATGGTTCAGCCCTCCAGTGTCTCCTGCCCCTGTTATCTGTCCTTCCTTCCTCACCATCAGGCACCCCCCACCCCACCCCAGGCACCCTCCATTTATAAGCTGCTCTGCCCCTTGTTCAGGGGAAGCCTAGATGCAGAGTGGATAGCCCCTTGCCTGGTTCTGCCACTGTCTGACGTTAGAGCCCCCCATGGTCTCTGGGCTTGTCATTGCCCTCTGGCCCAGAGGCACCTGTCCAGGCCTCTGCCAGGCCACCAGTTCTCTCAGCAGCTCAATACCCTGTTCTGGGGTATATGGGGACTCTTGGACACACCACTGCAGCTGGCAGAGAGCTAGGGCTACCCACTGCCGCTGCACTGTTGTGGCCATGGTGTCACACCAGGTGTACTCATTATCTGAGTAATGGGGAGGTGGGCTGTGCCCAGGAGTCCCTGCAACTGTCTCACTGTTCCCACGGACCCTCCTGCCCAGCCCAAGGCTCAGCCCTGGGGCTGTCTGTGTGCAGCTCAACTCCCCAATTCCATCTCCTTTTCATACTTCACCGACTGGAAGCATGGGCCTTCCTCTACCTGTCTGGCTGGGAGTCCCTGTGTCACTTGTGCCTCCCTCCTGGGGCCACTGCATCCTCACTGCCTTCGAGAAACTGTGATCTAAGCCCTCCAGGCTTGGATGGATGAAGGAGTCGGGGGCCCGCAGGAGCCAGGCACTAAGACCAAAATACATCTGTCCACTGTACCCTATTGTCATCGCCGTATCTATTTCCTAGGGTTGCTGAAACAAAGTACCACAAACTTGATGGCTTAAAACAGAAACAATTATTTCTTTAGTTCTGGAGGCCAAAAGTCAAGGTGCTGGCAGGGCCCTATGCTCTTCCTAGCTTCTGGGGGTGGCTGACAGTCCTTGGCGCTCCGGGGCCTATGGCTGTGGCACTTCAGGCTGTGGCCCGGTGGTCAGTGGCTTGTCCCCTGGTGTCTGTCTTCTCACCGAGCTCTCCTCCCTGTGTTTCTCTTCTGGGAAGATGCTAGTCTTAAGTCATGACACCTGCAGTGACTCTATACCCAAAGCAAGTCACATTCAGAGAGGACTTCATTTCTTTTTGAAGAACAAAATTCAACCCATAACAATCCCCAATTCTTAGATCCCCTTACTTGATGAGGAAGCCTACATGAGTGGGAAGGGGATGGGGAGACTGGGCTGAGTGTGGGGCCTGCAGGGGCCAAGGGTAGGCTGGCCACACCTGGGTCCTCTCTGTCCCCCCTCCCCCCAGGCCTGTTTGCAGCTTGATTCTCTTAGGGCCTCTTGGTTTCCTGCTGGGTCGGGGCCTTGCAACCATCTAGAGAGGCAGATTGAGAGGACTCCCACAGCCCTTGAGGGACAGAACCATCACTGGGTTTCTGTGACTGGTGTGGGGTGACAGGGGACTGTCAGGGCCTTGTCTTGCTCTCACAGCCCTTGCTTGGCTGCTCTGGCAAAGCCACCCCTCTGCTGAGGCAGGCTTCTGGCAGGGGTGTGGTCTGTAAGTTGGGGCAGCCCCTTCCCTGGCAGAACCATCAAAGCCTGGTGTGGAACAACAGTCCCTGACCTGGCAGGTGGGGAGGACGTGGCAGAGCTGTGACTCACTAAGCCATTGTTCAGTCACACCCATTTGGAGCAGTTCCACCCTGTTGCTCCAGGCCTGCAGTGGGGGCCTCTGAGGGCTTCCCCACCTTTGGGGGTTGTAGGCTGTGAGGGCTAGAAGGCGCCCCAGGGCTCAACTGCTCTAACCTTCTTATGATGTTTATTTAGTTTAATTAATTAATTAATTTTGAGGCAGAGTACCACTCTGTTGCCCTAGGTTGAGTGCTGTGGTGTTATCATAGTGCATAGCAACCTCAGACTTTTGGGTTTAAGCAATTCTCTTGCCTCAGCCTCCCGAGTAGTTGGGACTACAGGCATCTGGCACAACACCTGGCTAGTTTTTCTATATATAGTAGAGACAAGGGTCTCACTTTTGCTCAGGCTGGTCTTGAACTCCTGAGCTCAAGCAATCCACCCACCTTGGCCTCCCAGAGTGCTAGGTTATAGGCATGAGCCACCATGCCTGGCCAGATGTGTTTATTTTTTAATGGGAAACTGAGACCCAGAAGGAGGCCTCATGTGGTCACAGAGAAAGTGACTGGAAGCCGAGTCTGAGAAGTCCCAAGGCACTATGCCCCTCCCTCTGACTCAATAGAGTGGTCAGTAGGTACATACCATGTACTAAATAATGTATTAATATCTTCACAGCACCACCACTATATTCCTATTTTACAGAGGAGGAAACTGAGATATAGGCCTGTGAAGGTCACATAGGGAGTTGGTGGCAGCCAGGGCTCAGGGTCCTAGCTCTTTTTTTTTTTTTTTTGAGACAGAGCCTCAAGCTGTCCCCCTGGGCAGAGTGCCGTGGCATTACAGCTCACAGCAACCTCCAACTCCTGGGCTCAAGCGAGTCTCCTGCCTCCGCCTTCCAAGTAGCTGGGACCACAGGCACCCGCCACAACGCCCGGCTATTTTTTGGTTGCAGCGGTCATTGTTGTTTGGCGGGTCCGGGCTGGGGATTCGAACCCGCCACCTTAGGTGTACGTGGCTGGCACCTTAGCCGGTTGAGCTATAGGCGCCGAGCCAGGGTCCTAGCTCTTTAGCACTACAGGCTGATTCCTTGAAGGCAGGCATGGGCCCAGGAGGGACAGGTAGGATTTGGAGGGGAAAGTGTTCCTAGAAGGACATTGGTACATTCTAGGCCTGCTGGAGGGTGTGTGTCTAAGGGCTGGTCCCCTGACCCTGTTGTAGGAGTGGGGTGAGGCCGGGGAGGACAATAAGCCAGGAGCTGGGTGCTTAGCAGGATGTGGCCAGGAAGGCCACACGTTAGTTTACCATTGCTGCTATAACACATGATCACAAATGGAGTAGTTTAAAACAACTATCTTACCGTTCTGGATGTCTGAAGTCTGAAGTCTAAAATCAGTTTCACTGGACTAAAATAAAGCATTGGGCTTGGCACCAGTAGCTCAGCGGTTAGGGTCCCGGCCACATGCACCGGAGCTGGTGGGTTTGAACCCAGCCCGAGCCTGCCAAACAAACAAACAAAAAAATAGCTGGGCCTTGTGGCAGGTGCCTGCAGTCCCAGCTACTAGGGAGGCTGAATCAAGAGAATTGCTTAAGTCCAAGAGTTTGAGGTTGCTGCAAGCTGTGACGCCATAGCACTCTACCGAGAGTGACACAGTGAGACTCTGTCTCAAAAAAAAGAAAAAAAATAATTAATTAAATAAAAATGTCGGCAGAGCTGTGTTCCTTCTGGAGATTCCCAGGAAGGATCCATTTCCCTGCCTTTTCCAGTTCCAAGGGGCCACCTGGGAGCCAGGGATTTGGCTCGTGGCCCAATGTCAATCCAGCGTCTGCTTCTGTAGTCACATCTCTCACTCAGATCTTCCTGTCTGGCTGTCTGACTCTCTTTTGTTCATCTTCTTACCCAAATTTATACATACTCAAGTCTCTTTTTAAGGACCCTTGTGATTACACAGGCCCAGCCAGGTAACCCAGGGTAACCTCCCCATCTGGAGGTCCTTAACATAATCACATCTGCAAAGTCCCTTTTGCCATGCCACGTGACTATCACATGTTCCAGAGATTAGGGTATGGATGCCTTTGGAGGGGCCATTACTCTGGCTACCACAAAGGACATACAGCACACTTCTCACCTTCTTTTGGTCACTGACGCCTGCCGATGCTCATGCCATCCTTACTACACCTCTGCCAAGCAGGGCAGGTGGTCTTTGCCCCCATTCTACAGATGGAGAGACAGTGGCCCGGAGAGGAACAATAATCTGCTTAAACTGGGGCCTCACCAGGCCCCTCGGACTACAGCCTTCTCCAATCTGATTCATCTGGTCAACCTTAAAAGAGAACATAGGTCATATACAAAGATACTATTCCTGTGGGTCAGGTGTGAAGCTTGAGGCCCTGCCACCCTGAACCCCTGATGCCCTTTGGGGCCACCCTTACTGGGAAGGTGGTACCCATATTACCTCTAGACACTCCAGATTGCCTGGCATTAGGCCAGCAGAGCTCAGGCCTGTGTCTGGAGCCAGTCAGGGCAGGGGGCTCAAGATACCGGGCTGGAGAAAGGCTGAGGAAGCCTGTTGCCCTGGGGTCTATTGAGTCCCCACCAACTACTGTGAAGGGGAAGCAGATAGGGAAGGACATCCCAGGTCCCCTCACTCCTCAGAACAGCCCCTACATATGAGCCTCTTGTATGTGGTTTGTATTGAGGTTGTGTGCAAGATGGCCTTTAAGAGGATTGGGTAAATGAGGTGAAGGCTGTGTTGATTAGTAGGATGTAAGCATCCAATTTATACAAATTATCAACACATGGAATCCCATAATGGCATAAATATATTTACGATTTATGTACAAATGACTTAATAAAAAAGGGAAGGGGCCGAGATAAAAGAAAACTACCTGCTCTGGTGCACAGACGCCCACCTACCCCTGTTGATGCACCAAGGGGTCCTTGTGCCTCCTTTTGAGCAGGTCTGGGGTCTT